CGGAAATTTGTCTGTTACGCTTATAAATGCTAATAACGAGAAAAATCATTAAATTCGACTTTACTCGAGATATGACACGTGATCATGCACTCTCTTCTCACTCTTTCGAACTTTAATCACCAATATTTAACAGAATCAATGCCCTTTATACAAAATCTATCATGCCAAACTCCGTTTCTTATCTTAAAATTTACTTCATTCTGTGGTATTAAACTAAATAAACACCAACACACGCATACATATCCACAAAATTATTTTCCGATCTTTTTACTTGTTTGGGTTCAGGACGTTTCAAAAAGTGATTTTCAAAAAATCTAGAGGGTAAATTTCACACGATTCGGACATTTTCTCTTGTTATGTACAGTAATACTTCGGTTTTTGTTGACTTCGGTCATCGTCGATTTTTTCCACGAAAAATTTGTCTTGGTTTTCGTCGGTTGCCTCGGATTTCGTCGGCGCGCTTAAGTGACCTCGCTGCTAATTTTGCGAAAACAAAGGGCTACCTACGCGTTCTCTTGCTTAGTGTGGCGTTGTTTCTCGTTGTGTGAGCATTACCCTGCGTCTCTAGTCAAACAATTCCATTGCTTTTCTTTCTTTTTAGCTCCATCATGGAACCAAAGAAAATTTTCAGAGCCAGCAGCCCTTCTAAGAAGAAGACCAGGAACATGATCGACTTGAAGAAAATTATTGAAAAATACTAGAGCGGCATTAAGATTGCTGAAATTGGTCACATGTACGGGAAGTCGCCATCCGAGATAAGTTTCATTGTGGCAAAAAAGAAAGCAATAAAGGAGGCTAATGTAGCGAAAGGCGTGAATGTGCCAACGAAACAGATCGCAAACGATTGAAGATGTCGAACAGTCATTATTAATTTGAATAAATAAAAAGCAGTTAGATGCCGATTCTGTTTCAGAGAACATCATATTAGTCTTTTATATTCATTTCTTGTTCTTTTAAGTATTAATTAAACACTATATGTACTTGTTCTCTTTAAAATGTGTTTTTGGTATGTATTTTGGAGTGTTTAGAACGAATTAATTGGATTTACATTGATTTTTGTGGAAATAATTGCCTCAGTTTTCGTCGGTTTCGGGTTTCGCCTATTGTTTTCGGATTTCGTCTATTGTTTTCGGACGGATTATCGACGAAAACCGAGGTATCACTGTATATATTTATATAACAGCCAAGTAATTGAAAGTTAGAACTAAATTGGTTTATTCTATCAAAAATTCTTTAAAAAATCGAGAAACGTTAATATTAGGAATGAAAGTGATTGATGGAAAAATTTACGAAACAAATGCATTTATTTTTTGTAAATTAAAAATTTGTAAGAGTACAATTTCATAACTTGGAAGCTTTTTGAGATATAATTTCCATCCCCTAAATATGTCAGGAATCAATTGTCCGATTTTCCTGAAAATTTCTAGAATCATGCACTTCTAATTCATAAACCTCCCTGAAAAATTTCAGACACTTTTCATGAAAGTCACAGTAGTTATTAAACTTGAGAGTGGGTGAACAAAATCGTGTCCTCAAACACACTAACTTCCATACAAAAGAATCACTAAAATTTTTTGCATTTTCCGACATTTTAAGGTATCCTGAATACGAAATTGTAAAAACCTTTGAGGGTAATTTGAGTGAACATTTCATTCTCTCCCCGAGCTGCGTTACGTCACAATTTTGCAAAACGTTGTAAGAAACTTTTGGGTATATAATAAACGGGTTATTAATATGAGGTCCCAAAAACGGTTGAAATTAAACACTTATTATTAGTAATTTGGTAAAACGAAACTAGAAAAATCGTCCATTGTTAACAACCGATCAAAGATCGGATTAGTTGTGATAGTCATATGAAGCCGCGACGAGAGAGAGGAAAAAAACGCTATTGATGTAAACAGAACGCAATAATTATAAATGATTAATAATTGTAAACGAACAACCTCCAGTAGAGATGGACCTTTGACAAGGCGCTCGTATACAAGTAATTAGAACATAGAAATTTTGAAAAGGGGGAAAGGTTAATGACGAAAAGGGACATCGCGTCGGGTCGTTAAATTTCAAAAACGTCACAGACTAGACAACAACGGTGGAAAATATGAGCGCAAGTTTCAAAGTTCCATCAACATTTTGCATCCAGAGTAACGGATGGTGTCAAGTAGATTCTTCGAAGCGGATCTTTCTGGTAACTCGAACAGGAATCGTCCTTCGCTTAGGGACAGACGAGGGACCAATCGGGGAGCGAGAAAAAAGGGACGTGGAGCCAATCAGAAGAAAACAAAACAAAGAACGGAGATTGATATAATCCCCGATCTTCAAGGACAGACGCGCTTTCCGAAAACTGTGCAACTGTGCACCTGCACACGGTTAGTCAACGCGCAAAAGCAGTTTTCCGTCTGTTGTGCCAAACTTGTAACTTGCGACTACGGACTCAGACCGTCGACACCGACTGACGAATCTCCACACCTGCCGTTGCCCCTGGGCCTACCTTCGAGCAACATTAGAAAACACCCTCGACAATTCGAACATCCAATTGTTTAAAGAACATTTTTGTTTCACAGTGTAAGTTATTTTAGGTTTAAAATAAACGGGTTTTTGTGAGATTCTTGTCATCTGTGTCTCCTCCGCCACATCCACACGCGAACGACCCTAGATCATCCTGAAGCGGGATTAACGATTCCCCATGGAAGTCGGCGAACTTACACTGGTGCCGAGAAGTGGGATTTTAGGTCCCCAATCTCCACCGGATCAGCGAACTTACATTAATCACGTTTGTTTATTTTTTGGGAAAGAAAGATACGTCAAAAAGCAAGTTGTGTTGCTGGGTGAGAGGAATATTAAAAATCTGTAATTACAACATTTACTCTTCTAATTGCGTAAGAAAGTTTTTGTAGCCATCTTAAAACAACAAGAACCACGTGACAACAAACTGGAATGCGATTGATGGCAAAATTTTTTCGCTAGCGAAAAAGCTCGATAGTTCCGAACTTCGAAGCGATTCGCGAAATGGTAAAATTCACCGGAACGATATCATGTCTGACGTGTTATTCGCTCTGTTTTTCGCTTTCGCCAGCGAATCGTGTTTAGTGTGAACTAAGCATTATCATGAAACAAAATAAATTTATAAAAATATTTGCGCGTATTTTGTAAATATTAGGTTTATTCCAAAACAAGTCCATAACTGGTTTAAAACTGGCATACACATTGTTCAGTTCTTGGCTGTAAAATGACATTGCGCATGCCTCGTATGGTTTCCTACAATGCGCATGCCTTGGTATAACGTCCTAATTTTAAAATGTCCGAGTCAGCAATTTTAAAAAAGATGGCAACACTGCTGAGAAACGAGAGACTTTTTTGTTCTGGTTATCGAACCAGAACAAAAAAGAATCTTATTTGTTCTTTTTTACAAGTTCTCAGATACCATACTTTTGTCGATATTCTGGTGAGTGAGAAAATTGTCAAAAGAAATAGAAAGAATCAAGACAGAAGTATGGTATCTGAGAACTTGTAAAAAAGAACAAATAAGATTACCAACATTAAGTTTACCTGTGAGTATAACTAAAAATCTACAAAAACATGATGTAACGAAGATAAATAATACAATTTTGTCATTTAATATCAAATTTAAAAACTACAAATTAAAGAAACTGTTAAAGAAACAGAAGAAAGAAAACATAGAAATAAACACATAGGTAAGTGTTTCGAAAATAACTATAAGAAACTAATTAAAAAGATAGGTTATCCTACACTTACAGAAAGAGAAGAATGGAGAAATAAACTAATAGTAAATACAACGGACATTGAAATGCCAAGCTCTATAAGGAGAACTTTAGAACTGGGAGTCAATTTCAATGGGCCAACAATAATGAAAAAGGAAGATTTTGCTGTTTTTACATAACATAAGAGAGGTTGAGGCGCAAGTTCAAACACTAAACGTGTACGGGTAGCAGAAGTACACGTTACACGTTTCAAATCCAAGTAAAAATCGTTGAGGCNAAGAGAGATAACAAGGAAAGGTATGCAGAATATTTTTAAAGAAAACGGAAACAATTATGAAAAAACGAATAGTAAAATCAGAAACTATCAACAAGGCAAAAAATTATAATAAACAATTAAATAATGCTAAAAAATTTTTAACAGAAAATGATTTATTACTACTCGAAGGTGACAAAACGAAACAAATCATAATTATGAAGGCAAATAGGAAAAAAGAGATAAGTAAAGATCTGCAGGTAGCTTAATAAAGAAAGTCGGTTTTCTCTAAAAACATTTCCTCATTCTTGTTTAAATGCTTAACACCAGTATAATTGTCCTGTTAATGATTAATTTCCACGTTGACAAATATATAATAAATATTAATTTTGTTTAAAATAAATTTTATAAGTTTTTGGAATCAAGTAGTTGAGTGGACATGGAGCAATAAATGGATTGAATGGAACTCACTTAGGATGCGACTATGCAGACGCAAGCGAGCGAATTTTTCGAGCGAGCGAGAATATGTAGCGAGAAGAGACGAGACGCGATAAATATCAAAATCTGTCAGATATGTGCCAGAACCAGAAATTCGCTCTCTCTAGCGTTATTTCTCGCTTCTCGTTTGTGCATGGTTTTCCTTTGCGAAAACTAAATCGCTCGCAACCTCTCGCTCGCTCTAAATTCGCATCTTCATAGTCGCACCCTTAGGTAACGAAAGTGAAGTCATTGCGTATGCGAGTGAAAATTGACAGACTTTGGGCACGTTCGTAAAGTCGAACGAGTTAAACGAGAATGGCGTCATCGTTATTATTATTTCGTTAGACTTTTCGAACGATTCGTTTAGATCTAAATGGCTGTTTCTAAAATCGAAGATACAAATGTTGCTAGTACAGCCTTATCTATACTAATATTATAAAGAGGTAATGTTTGTAAGTATGTATGTATGTATGTAAGTTTGTTTGCAGCAGGTCATCTCCGAAACTACTCATCCGATTTCAAAAATTCTTTCACCAATATTATTATTATTATTATTATTATTATTACTGGGAAGGTGGTGAAAGCTCGAGACTACTCAGTGGTATCGCTCGAGGGTGAAATGAGAAGGAAAGAGAGGTTTAGGAGAAGGGTGAAGGTGAAATGGAAAGAGAGATAGGATAGGTGGTGAAGGGGTAGGATCATGGGCGCCAGCAACACATTTATTGATGGGAGTAAGAGAGAAACAAAATACAAGATATACAGAATACAGCATATATAATACCTGTGTACAAGGTGGTGGCGCGATTGTAAAACAACAATAGATAGAAAACAGTTGACAGTAGAGTGGCTATTATACAATGTGTTAAAAGTAGAAAACATACATATACGTGATGAAGGGTGAGAGTCCTGTTGAAGGATCTTCGTTAGTTCATATGCGTGTTGTTCCTGTGATAGTCCGCCAGTCGAAGCTTTGCGACAAAGGCTTTAAAGGTAGAGAAGATTTTCTTGTTGTGGAGAAGGGCCTCAAGGGTGCAGGGCCAATGGTGACCCTCTGCCTGAAGCCTGTCCCTGAGAGGGGGCCTGTGGGCCCTGTGATTTGCACAAGTAAAGATTACGTGGTATGGGTCCTCGTCTTCTTCAATTCCGCAATTGCAGGTGCTGCTTCCTTTTTTAAGAAAACGATAGAGATAGGCCCTGAAGTTACCGTGTGCTGTCAAGAGCTGGGTGATGGCGTGATTGATGTTGAAGAAGTTGAGTGTCATCCTTTTGCTGATGTTGGGCAGGAATTGGTGAGTTAGACGCCCGGTGGTACTGGCATCCCATTCCTTTTGCCATTTATCCATAATGACGGCGTTAAGCTTGTTTTTGATGACAGACAGGGAGATGGCGGCATAGCTGCAGTTACTAGTGATTGTATGGGCTTTCTTGGCAAGGGCATCAGCTTTTTCATTGCCGTAAATCCCAGTGTGTCCCCTTACCCAGTACAGGTTGATAGAAACCACCTGACCAATCTCTCCTATGATCTGGAGGCAGTTGTTGATGATGGGGAGCTGGCGATTGCCCTTGTTTAATTGGTGAAGGGCTGTGCGGCTATCACTTAAGATGTTGATGGTGGTTCGTTTAAAATGCTGAATATTTGTTTTGATGTATTTCAGACTGTGCAGGATGGCTAACGACTCAGCCTGATTGATGGTGCAGTGATTGTTGAGAGAGGCTACTGATTGCCAGTAGTGCCTCTTACTGGGGTCGTCGAGGTAGACAGCAGCGCCAACTGTGTTCTCTGTTTTGGAGCCGTCAGTATAGAAGTTGACTCCTTTAGTAGGGGGGAGATGGTTGAAGTAGATATTGCAGCTCTTAATGGCAGCTGGGTGGGTGGTGTCAGTTTCGACCATTTTGTCGATCCCATATTCCTTAACGTCTTTGACAATGGAGTGTATGGCCTCCGGGAGCTTAAGTTCGTTGATTGCCCTGTTAGTCAGAGTGTTGTTGTTATTAGGAGTGTTGAGCTTTATGAGAAGGTTTTTGATATACCTGCTCAGGATGACGTGCTGAATAGGTGGGAGTCCTGCGATGACAAGAAGGGCGTCTGTTGGTGCAGTTCGATAGGCTTTGGTTGCTACAATAGCTGCCATACGCTGGGCCGAGAGGAGTTTCCGGCGAATATGCACCTTAAGGATGGCATAGCCCCACTCCTCTCACCCGTAAGTCAGGATGGGCTCAATGGCCCCCTTGTAAGTTAACTTTGCGTTCCGATGGTCAAAAATTAAAAAAAAAAAAAATTTAACACGGTAGTAACTTTAATAGGTATGTTTTAAATTGCAGATTGCAACCGCCATCAGCCTCTCTACAAATTTGTTTCAAGAAATCTATTTTGCAATGAAATCTTTACACTTTTTGCACTACTTCAATTGTAAACACAACACACTTCGTTGCAGATACCCACACATTCCCCCACCCATGGCTAATGAGGGCCCTGCGCACCAAAATGCATACCAGCAACAAAGCCGCATTCTGACGGCAGAAGTGCAACCCCAATGTCACCAGTAGAGGTGGACAAGTCTCTGCTATCTCCGCTACTGCACTTGAGATACCATTTTGAACAATTTTTCGAGACAAGAAGCTTTTTTATGATAAATAAGTTCTATTGTTATTCTTGCATCATTTCATAATTTGTACAATATTCTTCACAAGATAAAATTTCAAAATGCTTGAACACAGCTTTGCTACAAGCATTAGGATATCAAAGGCTTTAATCACTGTAATAATCTTTGATCCATGTGACCTAGCAGTATGTGGCCCTTAATTTCAAACTTTTTAAAGTATCGAAATGAGGAAATGAGACGTTGAATCAATGCTAATATGTTAAACATCAATTGAAGATGGAGATGATAAGTCTGTACATAAATAATAAAATCAATTATTTGTCCAAACGTCTGAAAATAAATCTAAGTATGGAGCGCAGCCATCTCCATCTACTTCCTCTGCGCTTGAGTTTTTCTGCAGCCAAAACTCGTTCTTTTTCCTTCTTCCGAATTTCTCTTACCAAAGCATGAAAAACATCATCCACAAAATGCCGAAGAGCAGCAGATGTCTCATAAAAGGGACAGTTCAACTGTCTTGAAAGTGCTTGACCTTCTTCTGTTGAAACCTAAATATTTATCAGTTAAACTATTTTTAAATACCACCACATAAAATTTTTAAATTATCTATTAAGACATTTTATTTTTGTTTACTTTTCTCATTGGTTCCAAATCATACTTGTTTCCAACTAAAACAATGGGTATACTGTCAGAATGCCTGACTCTTTCTATCTGCTTTTTATATTCGGCTGCCTCTTCGAAACTCCTACGGTCAGTGATCGAATAGCAGATAATGAAACCTTCTCCTCCACGCATATATTGATCTCTCATAGCAGTAAATTCAACCTGACCAGCCGTATCTAATATATCCAAGAGAGCTGCCTCTCCATCAATAACTGCCTGATGCTGATAGGCATCCTCTATAGTTGGATCATGATATTCCAAGAAACTATGAGTAACAAATTGCAAGGTAAGAGCACTCTTTCCAACTCCACCATCTCCTAATACCACTATTTTATATATTCTGAGCCCACCTCGAGTGGTTTGGTTCTGTATCTGGTGCTCAGAAGTCGACTGCCCAATCATGGTAGTGTTATTTCTATCCCCTCCGGCTAGCATCTACTGTGTTTGTTATGATTTCATCTTTCTTCTTTCTTTTTCACTTACACCCTCTAACGGACGATTAGCTAACCCAAATGTTCCTTGCAATGTTCCTGAGGGTTTCACCAATATTTAGAATGAAACCTCAGGGTGGACATAGCTCAGGGTGGACATAAACATTCATATAAATTAAAATATATAATCTAGGTTAAGGCTTTTATGTCCAACAGATGGCGCTACGAGTACGACGCCCTAAGTTTGCTTTTCTGTGAGGCATTATGCTTTTCTGTGAAAATGAACTAAAGCAGATCATCTTCNCAACAACGCGTGGCGGGGTCTGCTAGTCCGAAATATTTTTCTTAGATTGCTTCGGGTGGACAGTTACTCCAATCATTTTAACTTTTAATTCACAATTTAAACACTCGAGTAGATTTAGAAACATCGATATCGTCGGGCGCCATTTTCTTAACGAAGTAAACTAACTCTTTCCTTCGTGAACTTCGTTAGAGTTTCGTTCAAAACGTCATCACCGCAGAGCATGCGCACTGAGCGAGACTAATACTATTCGAACGATTCGTTACTAACGCGTTTAACTCGTTTGACTTTACGAACGTACCCTTTATATCATAAAAACATTGCCAAATTTAGTACACTTTATTTACATTTTTGAATCGACTAAAATGCAAACCTTTAAATATTTCGAAAGAAGAAAAAATGGGCTTACATCACTTTCAGAATAAACAGTTTATATGATGATGATTATTAATAATACAGTAGAGCGTCGTTTATCCGAAAGTCTGTTATCCGAAGCATTCTAGTCGGCAAATTTAAATTTTCTCTAGTGCTGTGGCGCTGCAATCTTTGGCTATATCTTGAGCTACTCCAATATTTTTTTGTTGATGTGTTTTTTAGCTGGCAGCACTAGCACTTTTGTTTGGTGTTTTTCTGAGGACTGTGTGTTGTGCTGAATCGAACGTTTTGATACTAGATCAACTTCTAAAGTATATATTTTTTGGTTTTTATATTTTTCAATATATTTATTTTGTTTGTAAGAAATAAAGAAATAATTTTTAACGATACAATAGCCACGATTATTATTTTAAAAAGTATACGTTAGGTTTAACATCGACGAAAATTAACGCGAAGCGACACGCAACTGAGAAAAATTTCAACACGGGATAGGTTAATATTTTTTCGTATATAATCGGTTATCCGAAAAATAAGTTATCCGAACAACCCAATCCCCAATTGATTCGGATAAACGACGCTCTACTGTACTTAGAAAAATGAAAGCTAATTACATAGGGAAATTTACGATTATTTTTAATAGAGAATAGAGCAGACACTAATTAATGAAAATCATAAATTACAAAAGCGATCGATTCTTTGAAATATGAAGAGATGACGTTACATTCTCTGAATAAATTTAAGCGTCGTAAGTTTTTAAAAGATAGAGTAAAAGTTTTTAGATGAATAATTTCTGCTCTTCTTGGTAAATTATAAATATATATAAGGCCACGTCTACATTTTTAAATTTTACTTATTACTAAATTTATATCTGCATAACTATATGGTATTGTACAGGCTGTGTCTTATTTACGACACTTAGCTTGAAGATCGATATCCATTAAGTGTTTCGTCATAATAAGAAAGTAATGCATTAGCTTTCTGCCATGCGACTCTTATACATGTACGTTGTATAAAAGTTTTTAAATGCTATCAAGAATCATAATCCGGAACACTCCTCGAAAATTAATATACAATTTTACTCTTTGTATGATTACTAATCGTAAAATGAGTGGTGAGGCTTACACTCCAGAGAACATTTTGTCAATCTTATCGAACTGCGTTCGTGTTTCTGGGTTATACGTAAATTTTGAAGTAGAAGATCGTCTTTCGAAAATTCTATGGAAAACTTACTCTATGGCTGTTATTATTCTCATGTGTTTAGCTAAATTATGGATGTTACAGATCGCATTCTATCCAGAACTAATAATATTGTCAAAAAATTACAAAAAAACTTGGAAGGAAGATTTAACTATTATTTACACCGTTTATTTTTGTTGGTTTCTTTTTCTTTTCATCGTGCTTTGTATATTTTTTCATTATAAATCTATTTTCCATGGTAAACTTCTTTGTAGGAAGTTGATGACGTACAAGATACCAGTTAAATATGAAGAAAAAATGAATCATTTTATGCTAAATATGGCAAAATTTTGGATTCCCATAACATTTTCGATAAGCTTCTTCTTAACAATAACAATTGTTACGATTTATCTTATAATAAATTGTAAAGTAATGTTCGAAGATTTCGGTTTTATTACTTCGATTTTTGTAACTGTTTTTTGTACTTTAATAATTACATATGGAATGAATATTACGATTTCAGTTGTAATTCTAAGCATTTTCGTTCTTGCAATTACCATCATTAGATTGGATGCGATATTTTGTTACATGAAGGAGAATGTAATGAATGGGAATATAATTATTTCAGATATTATAGAAATATATTCCTTTGTATTTGAACATGTAAAAGAACTAGACAAAATCTTAACAATTCCTATATCTTTTTCAGTAGCAATTTTTGCTTCTCTAATTGTTTTCTTGCTGCAGCAGATAATATTCAGCATGCGATATACTGTTTCTTTTGTGACGTCATACATTCTGATATTTATATTGTGTACTTTCATTTTTTCTATATTATTTGTAATGAGCTTAGTTCATCAGCAAGTAAGTAGTTTGTTTAATATTAAAATTAAATTTTTGTTATTTTAATATTATTCGTTTAATCGGTTTATTTTAAATAAATTAAGGGAAAAAATTATTTAATTACGATTTCAAAAAATAATTTTTGTATTTATTTATAACAAACAATTGCATAAAGAGTTTTTACAAATTTGCTATTTTATTTAAAAGGGGAAAAAGTATTTAAGAAATTTGTTTAATAATATTACATCAACCTATAAAGATAGTTTTTATGTAAGTATTTAAAATTTTCTAGTTTTTAAAAAATTTTATCTTTATAATTTAGAAATGTTTATGATAATGGCATAAATGTTCAAATGTACAGTATTGGACAATTGATGGTGCCACGGTGCCATTCCTGCACACGCCTTTGAATAGAGACAAAAATTGCAAATGAATGCTACGTAATTTTTGATTCATTACAAGTAAAAGAGTTAAACATACTTTCTCTTTCTCTTTAATTAATAAAATTTATTTTCGTTTCTTTTCTAGTTGTGTTTCATGATAAAAAAAATATATTCCCCCGTTTGGCTTAACTTTGTTTAATAAGTATTTAGTAACCAGATACATAATTTTCCAAGTGAGAATACTTTTATTATATCTATAAATTGTTTTTATATTTTTGTACATTTATTTAAACTATTTATTTTTTTTAAATGAGAAAATTTCTTTTAAGTATTTTAAATTTCTATACAAAATACAGTAAAATATTTTTATTGTAATCACTTATATTCGCTTATAATAATATGGTAATTAAATAAGAATAAAATTAGTATAAATTCTTATTTTCTTGTCTCCGAACAGACATTAAAAACAATCTAGCATTTTATTAATTGCTATTAATTGTGATACAGTCAGTATTGTTTGACTGCTGTTTCTTGCCATATCGTCTTTAAGTCAATGATTGACTAACATAAACTGATAAAATTTCAGAACTTTCAGCCACAGATTAAGGGTAAAAGACAGAAAAAATTTAAAATAACTGTTTATCATAGGGAGGAGAGAGTTCGTACGGTTATAGTTATCACTATAACAGGAATCTAATTACAATAAGCAAAGTTTTGCAAATATATTTCATATTTTGGGATGTCTCGTTCTAATTATAACATCTGCGATTACAATAAGAAGTATCTACTGTGTTATATTCTCTTTGAAAAAATTGATGATATTTTTTTAATTTATTCTCCTTTAAAATCCTGTATATTATATTTTCTATAGGCCTGTAGCATGTTTCTTTCAATAACTGTGTTTTTCATTCAGTTAAAAAATATAAAAAAATGAATCATTACTGTCTCTTTTCTTCTTTAAAAGGTAAATTTATTTTAGTTTGAATTTCAATTTTATAAATAGTAATATATTAGTAAATAGTTATATTTAAATTGTAGTAAATTAGTAAATAAATAGTAAGTATATTAAAATTATTTATTTATTTATTTTTTTATTTTTACAGTATCAAGAGTTTGTATTGAAGATCTGTGGTACAATGTGTAATTATTTTGTCAAATTTTGAGATTTAAATATTTTTATTGCCTTTACAATCAGTTACCGGAAAAATAGTCACATTTAACTGATTGTAAAGCTGTATACCATAGTAATTTTTTTTTTCAGTGTAACGTTATGTCAATCATTCAGAGGCCTCAATTTGCTGTCCACGGCTGGATTGATTATAAGAAAAATAGAAAAAAGATGGAATTTATTGTACAGCACATATGAGATAACATTAGTTAAAATCTTTAAAATGTTTAAATCTTTTAATGTAAATTCTGTGTATATTTTACTTTTCTATCTCTATAAAAACACTAACTGAAGAACCAAAATGTATTTTGGACTCTTTCGGAGTTCGAATGCATTTTGGGTATATTGTATATGTTTAAGATTCAATTATTGTAAAATTTTTGTATTCTTTTGTAAACTTAGATATAAAATAAACTAAAAAAAATTTTGGTAGCATCATATTAATTGATGTGATAAACTCTAAAATTTAAATAACTGGTTTGATTATCACAAAAATTTAATGTAACTAAGAACAACAATACACTAGTTCATTCAAGTAAATTATAATTGCAAAAAAAATGTTTCCAATATTTTTATTCATTAACTTTAATGATATTTTGCAATTATAGTGAAAGTAAACAAAATTTTATAAACTAAATTTGGATTTGTTGAGAGGATTAACAGCAGAATACGTGTTGTAAATTGTGTTTAACTATGCCTACTATGGGATAGTCTGAAATGCATGGAGTTCTTTCAGAACGGTGAGATGATGTAACAACATCCAAATCTACAATGTCATAAAAATTTATAAAAATCTTAATAAGATTCGAAGCAACATCTTCATGGAAATAGAATAATGCTTTATTGCTTCTTCTGGTCAACTACTATATATTGTAAATAAATTATAGAAGAAAATATATACAGTATAACTTCCGAATAGCAGACATCGTCGGGACCGAGAAGTTTGACCGTTATTTACAGGTGTCCGCTATTCGGAGGTATATGCCGGCGGCCATATTATAATTTAACCTAATCATAAAGAGAAGAATACGATGGGTTACGAAAATACAAAATTTGCGTTAGGAATGTGAAGATACCAAACAATATACGTAAAATATATGATTGAAATATATATATACAGTATATTGTTTATCTTTTCAGCTGTAAAAATCACGTTTTAATTGAATTCTAAATAACAAACAGGTTGTAGAGGATATTTAAATTAAATGGAACATAAAAATTACGACGAAACGTAAACGTTGATTAATTATTAATTCATCAAAAATGACCTGAGCGGAAGTAACAAAAATTTAATTTAATTTTTCGATTAATTTTACTTTTTTCGATAAATTATTTATTAAAAATTACTTTAGCTACCGTACCACAAAGCTGTTAAGATTATAAATTACATTATAAATTCGAGAAAACAGACCATCCACTTTCGCAAATCGGCAAATCGCTTTCGTAACACGTAACTTTCACTAAATAAACGTTCTCTTAATCTTAAAATTGTTCATTTTTCATTACTACTGTACTACGGTTCTTGTCCAATGAATGAATATCTTCGGGAAAGTTTCTTCTTGGTAACGTAAGCTTAATTCCAACAATAAGACAGAAGTTTAATAACATTGATATGTATGACGATAAATGTCGATTGAAATTTAACCAGATTAGTCTTCTCTAACAGATAAAGAATATTGTTCAGCTTTTACAACTCGACTTCCTCCCCTATTCTTATTTTAAGCCAGTCTTTATTCGACGCTTATGGTCAAAATTCTTCCTCTGAAAGAGTATTTGAACTGATTATTTGTTAAAATATTTCGTACGTAATTAATTATTTCAGAATATTGAACTCGGAACTTTTGTGTTTTCGTAAAGTAGGTTATTGACGAGGGCGTGCGTTATTTAAAGTGTCCGCTATTTAGAGGTGAATATAATAAATGCCCTATTTGAAGGATCTGGGGATTATAAAAATGTCCGTTAAATACAGATGTCCGCTATTCTGGAGTGTCCGTTAATGGAGGTTTCAGGTTTCACTATACTTGATAGGATAGCTAAATTGTATAAACAACAGATGTTACATAGTAATGTAATAACTTCGGAGTCGTTAACAATCCCAGAGTGAAAACTATCGTTTTTTGAATTTAAAGTATTTAGTATTACAAATGATTACGTGCATATCTCGTATTAATAAACGCACAAGGACACTATTTAGGCACAACGTGAGAAACAAAACCTAATACAGTATAATCGAAAGACCGTAAAAAGATATGCTGATGGACAAAACTTCAGATGCTATCGCTAAATGGGAAAAAGTTATTAAAGTGTCAAATAATATAGCAAATATTTCAAACACGAAAGTTTTGTTAATTAATTAACTGGACAAGCAAACAATGATCAAGGCAGAAACATCTTGATGTGCACACTTTATAAAGTTAAGAGTAGAACATTCATTTTCTTCGCATTTTTCGGAGCGGCCACGTTTGAAACAAAACGCTAAGGGTATTTCGAGTAATGCAGACATTCCTGACGAATATCTATATTTGAAAAATGTGTACCGTATCAGATTTTTAAATCGGGGTGGCAAAAACTGAAAATACACGAACGAATGTAAACACAAAAAGTAATGTTTGATGTTTGTCGACATTAAAGAGAAATTTTGCCAAGTAAATGTGTTAGTCACACACCTAAAATTTTGTTCAACATATATATATATATATATATATATTTTTTTTTAAGTCTTTCGGATAGACCAGGTTTGAAATGACGGTCATATGGCTGAATGATTATGGCGCTCTGGCGCAACCGGCATCGAATTTGGATGAATCGAAAAACTCAGGAATTTTTCGGGTAGTCCATTCGGATATATTGAGGAGCTTAATCGAATTCGTAATGGGATTGCTAAAATTTAAAACAGGCCTTCTTAGTACCCACAGGGAGGAGAGAGTAAAAAAAAAAGACTAGGTTTTATTTGTCCTTTTTGTCCCCGAACAGTGTTCTTTCCTTGTTAGTGTTACGAGGAAATTGTAACCACTAAATATTTTATAATTTTTAAATATATATTTTCTATTAAAATAATACTTTTTTTTGAAATTTTAGAATAGCACAACATTTAATATACTTTAAATAATTATAATAATAAATATCTATGTAGTTTGCTTTTTCCGCTAGGGAGCGTTTGGGAGAAGCATGTCTGAAACGTGTTGTTAAATACAGTATATAAATTGTGTTTATACATACATTTTTCCAATTAACATTTAATTTTGTAAGGAGTGGATTTTTAAACAAGTGAGTTTCTTATTATCTATTTGATTATTTGGCATGTTAATCACAGAAATATATTTTCGCATTAAATTCGAATTCATACTAAATTATAATATTAACATTTGAATTGTGTGGGTTTAAAATTAGTCAGATAGATGTTTATTATTATTTCATTTATATGCTGTCTGACAATATTTACTAATATATACACAGTAGTTATAGTGTAGATATACTGTACATGCAAAAACTTATTGAAAATGATACAGGGAATGGAGTCTAGAGAGCATACACATAACTTAGAAGTTACATTCAGATAATATTTTTGTCATTCAGAACTGCAATCTTACCACTCTTACCATGTTCTGTATGTATATCAACAGATTACTTAAAGGTAATTTCCATGGCAATAACTTTTACCATAAATGCATGAGGTGGGCTAAAAGTGTGACTAAACTGGCTGTAAGAATTTGAAAAAAAGTAAATATAACCTGATGATGTGTCAATATTAGGTATTTGTTTATAATTCGTACACCAACCAATATGCATTAGCTCAGAAACATGTGGATTAAGTTTCGGAATAAATTGTCTAACACATTTTGGTGTTTTTAGGGGATTTTAGTGATAATAATTAGTGTGGTTTTAAATTCCTGGAAAAACTATACTTTACTAAACCGGGATAGCAAAATTATAAAATCACAATCACTACTACTACTACTACTACTACTACTACTGAATGATTACAAATCATTAACAAGTCATGTTGCAAATGTGTTGCTTCTGTGTAGCTATGCTTCTTCATATAAATTCATTACAGATTTCTTCCAAGTCCAAGTTTACAGCATGGGCTTTGTTCACAATTTAAAATAGCCGCATGATTCAATGAAACAAATGGCAGAACAATATTGTTGATACTATTAAACAAATGGGTATAAATTACAAAGAAATAAATTCTTCTTTGAGTCCAAATTATGGGATGGGCCTAAGTTCCACAAGTTCAAATAAGTTGGTGCCACTGATAACATCATTAACTAACTCCATAAACTAACAAATTCTACTTTCTGCTAATTGAATTTCTCAAGATTTGACTGAAGATGAAAGATAAGATCTAACTAGCATAAATAAAGCTAGCATTTTGTGACCGCTCTGGGTATTTGAGAAATGATAGATATAATATATGTAGATATTCGAAAGGTAGGTTTGTTTTTTTTTTCAAAAGTATCTACTAATTCTACAGGGGGATCATAATTAAAGTTGTCTTGTTCAGAGAACTCTGTAGCTCCAAACAATAAGCCAATTGGCACCAAAACTTGTGTACATGTTATTTAAAGGATGCAGAAAAGGATTTTGCAAAGAAAAATTTTAGTTCCAGAATTGTCCACTAGGGTAAATGTCACTTCAAGGAAAGAAATGAGATATACCGTATTTATTCACATATAAGATGAGGTTTTTATTCATTTTTAACTGCTTCGAAAACCTAGTTCTTCCCATATGCGTGAGTGAAGAATTTTTTGTATTTTTGCAATAATTTTTGTAAACCGTGTATTTGCATTTTTTATTGGATGCCCACCCGCTGGTGTTTAAAAACAGAATTATTTTATCTTGGTCATTTCAATCATTCTTGTGTATTGTCAGGTATAAAGATGAATAGGAATGGCAATATGATGCAATAGGAAAAGCAAAGCTTTTGAATTGAATTCCAAAATCACACAGGAGCCCGATATAAGTTAATCTGACATAAAAAAACTGGCACACTTAAACTAGAACTATATAATAAACCAACAAGTTGACACCTAAATGTGAATTTCAGCATATAATGAACAAATAAAATTTAATGTTCAAACGTTTTCAGGACAGAATGGATGAAATACAAAAAACAGTTCTATCCTTTGAAAATTTCTATCTTTTGAACTTTGCTGTATTCCAATTTTTAAACATTTAAACGATATTCAATACAAAAATCATTATGCTTACAACATGTAAATTAATTATTTTTTAAATAAATCTATAAATAAACTCATTATTATTATATTATATGGTGTTGTAAAAGTTAGTCTGATGTTTTAACATATAAATGATGTTTAATAAGGAAATTGTTTCCTTTACATTGCATAAAGATAAATAAATAATTACACAAAAATTATTGTTATGCTTTGTGGCATTGTAAATAATACTTCCACGATTGTAGAACTGGAATATAGTCAGAGTTAATGCAACCTCCCTTCATGCCCACTATATAAATTTCAAGTTTGGTAGCATACTGAGTTTGGTAGCATACTGGGCCAGAGTAGTATTATAATTCCCCTTTGACACATCGTATTTTTGGTCTCGAATTCTAGCCTCGCAGGATCTGTACGTGGATCCGATGTATGTTATATGTCTATTAAAATGTTTGTCCTGCAATGGAATACGATACACTCCTGGCACTTCTTGTCATCATACTTATCTTTTGTGTTAGTTAAAAGCCGAAAAATGTTTCGCTTTCTCTTATATGTTAAGCGCAAGTTTAAATCCTTAGTGATTCTATTGTAAATTTGTTAGAGGGATGATTTGTAAGATATAACAACCCAGTTGTTTTCTGCATCATTAACTCTGGTGTTGGTGATGGCTATCTTAGATTGCTGGTTGGCAGTGAGCTTGTTGATTAAGGACTGGTGGTACCCATGTGCAGATGCTATATACTTGATGTGTTTCGGTTTGTTGTAGATATTAGAAGTCTCCAAGCAATGGGAGTAAGCCCCTGAGACTAGGGCTCTTAATGCTGCTACCTGAAAAGGCCAAGGGTTCACTGAGTTAGCAGGTATAAAGAGGGGAATGGATGTGGGTTTGTGGTAAATAGTCATGGTTATATTTTTATTTGCCATACAAATCTTGACATCCAGGTAATGGGTGTCAAGATTCTTACTTACATTATAATGATTTATCTTTATCAAGTCTGCAGCATTGGCAGACTTGATATGATTTTTCACTAATACAACACAATGTGTGAAGCATCATGAGGGAGCAATTATAGTCAATCATTGATCACTGTGCATCATCTTCAAATTTCACACTTAAAAGATTGGGATCAATTGAACAACATTCCTTGCATTGCTAAGCATCACTAAGCAATCCATGTAGCACATACTGGTATGTGTCCATACCTGTATGGACACATACCATATACAGATTGCTTAGCAAATTAATATCTTAGGATGGGGTAATGATTAAGAAATGAAATTTGGCATGGTAGCTTGTGTCATGTCTCAAATGCAGTTGGACTTAATGGAGATTTTACTCATTATTGGCATTTACAATTTTTTATGTGTATGTATGTAGAACGGTAAATAGACATACATGACCACCTGTTTTACCCCAGGTCAAAAGCTGTTAAAGAATGAAAGGGTCATCCTCATGGATAAATGACTTGTAAAGAATGAATTAGTAGAAAAATTTCTGTAATGAAATCAAATTTTTGATGTGAAGCTTATATTTACATGATTTTTATATTCCAGAGAATTTGTAACCTAGTGAGTTTTTTACCATTTTATTGTAAAATTGAAATAAAATCATTTATTAGAAAAATTGTTTTTTACCTCTCTTGAAAAGTTTGTTTTTTGGCATTTACAACATTATGCTTCATAACATGAAGCATTTGTCTACATCAAAGACATGTTTTAAACCCATTTAAATTATCAGATTTTTCTGATTAAAATTATTTTATAAATGAAAAATTATAACTCATTTGTGTAAATTTTATTTATTTATGTAAAATTTACTTATGTAGGTTTAAAATGGAAAAATTTTTAAGACCATGGCATGCTGGTTATAAATATCCACTAGAATATTTTGTGAAACCCTGGAATGGAGGATATAAATATGCTAAGAATTGGCCTGAACATTATAAATGCTTTCTCCAAGAACTCATGAAGCCATCAACACCTGTTCATTATAAATATGATCCAAGAAAATGGTATAAAGATCCAGAAACTGGAGAAATGTTAGTAATTTTTCTTATGTATTATATACTTTTGTACCNTGCTGGCTGCTCGCATATCTGAACACCAACGTTCGGTGGCACTTGGCAATTGTGACACGGAACTTTCCAAATTGGTGATACAACACCACCACGTAGCGCTTTGGAATCGAGTGGAAATACTCAAACGCTGTGATGAAGGGAACTTGATATACATTTGGGAGGCCCTCCTCACAAAACTGCTCTCCCCGTGCAACACCCCTACCCTCGATTTACCGGACGTCTGGATTAATTTATTCAGGCGGTTAAAAAACCAACAATAATTTTGCATTCTCTTCCCGCACCTCCTACATGATTCAAAGCACATACGTGTCGGCCTCTTTATGTGCGTCTTTTTACGTGTGTTATGTATTTTAAATTATGTCCCGCGCTTTAATATTTAAAATTTAAATTTTAATATAAACTTGCACTTGTGGATCTATTCCGATCGGTTTCTATGCTGTCTAAGTTAAGGCGCATGCGTGCCAAAAATTTTATACGTATTTACAAAGTGTTTTAACTTAAATTCTAAAAAATTTAATTGTTCTTAATAGACATCTAATTGGCTCTCATGTTATGCATGTTAAGGTGCACGTGCGCCAATTTTTCGCGTTCACAAAATAATTAATAGCCACTCCAATCGATGTTTATTTGTTTTAAAACGCATGCGCACCAATTTTAAATGTTTAATTCTAAAAATTTAAAAATTTAAATTTAAAATCTTTTTTGTATGTTCAAAAACGGCTAGTATCGTTAATGTTTTAAATTTAAATGTATGGTTCGAATTCTTTATTCGAATTTCATTTTACCTGAAGACGACGTGCTTATTTACGTCGAAAGCGCTCGTAAATTAAAATAATTTCAAGTATATTTAACACCTCATAGACTGACGTTCTTGGAAGAAGTTTTGATTGACATAAGTTGGCGTGACATCCAACCCGTGAACTTAATACACCTAACAAGATGTATAACTCATTTGTGTAAATTTTATTTATTTATGTAAAATTTACTTATGTAGGTTTAAAATGGAAAAATTTTTAAGACCATGGCATGCTGGTTATAAATATCCACTAGAATATTTTGTGAAACCCTGGAATGGAGGATATAAATATGCTAAGAATTGGCCTGAACATTATAAATGCTTTCTCCAAGAACTCATGAAGCCATCAACACCTGTTCATTATAAATATGATCCAAGAAAATGGTATAAAGATCCAGAAACTGGAGAAATGTTAGTAATTTTTCTTATGTATTATATACTTTTGTACCAATATATTTAAAATGAAAAATTATGTTTATTTTTATATAATTTAACATATAATTATCTATCTGTTTCTTTGCAGACACACTAAGGTGACAACACTTGGCAAATTATTGACTATTTATTCAGTTGTTGTTTGTTCTCCAAGTGGTATATGGAATATGAAACTGTCCATCCTGTACGACATCTGTACACTAGTGGTTTGTGCTTTATGTTGGCTGAAGAGGGACCAATGCCCGAAACGCGAAATGTAAAAAGCGTCCCAACTGAATAAATAGTCAATAATTTGCCAAGTGTTGATATATGTCACCTTAGTGTGTCTGCAAAGAAACAGCTTAATAACAACAACATGGTTTCATCAGAATCAAAAAAAATATATAATTATTTAATCAAATAAAAATAAAACTTTATTAAATATTGTATTTTATCATATAAACTATTAATTTATTCATTATTATGCAAAATATGAAAACTGACTAAAAATTAAAAAATAAGTTTTTAGTCAGTTTATTTTTGTTTTCAAAGAATATTTTGTTTTTATTTCTTGTAAATTAAAGTATTAGTGTATTTCTAATATCTTGTTTATTATATAGTAAAAGAGTTCAAAATGAACCAATTCCAGTTATTTATCCAAAAGATGCTGATAATGGTATTTGGGGTGGAGAAGGAATTATAAAAGGTTATAAGAAAAAGCATCGTTATCATACAAGGTAAGATCATAAAATAAAATTATTACTAAAATAAATTTAAAATTAAGAAAATTTTTATGAAATGAGAAAAGAAATATTTAATAAATTAATTATTTTATATAATTGAATTAAGAACTAGATATGTAACAAGCAATATTGTTAACAAGTGTGAAAATAGTAGTAATTCAAACACAAATTATTATTGCATTTACTTTCAGGCACTTGGCAATTTTTATCATCAAATTTTATTTAGTTGATACGTGTTGATATTATTTACACACGTTTCGGGCATTTATTGCCCCTCCTCAGCCAACTTTTTAATTTACAGGTTATTAAGATATTAAAACCACAAATTTCCATCACCTATGTTTACTTGTTATTATGGAATTACAAAACCATTTTGGCCCTTAACACTCGTTTTTCTTGCAGTTTTCCTCTGTAATTGTTGTTGTTTTGTTGACCCTTATCCATTTTTTGATGATTGTTGCCGTTTCAGCTTCGGAATTCTTATTCTGGTATTTTGAAACCATGCTAGTAGTTATTAGTAGTAATTGGGCTAAATTTTTGAGGATAACGTGGTCCAAAATGCCTTCTTTTTTTTACGGAGGGTTTGTTGTTTATAAAGTCTTTCACCCCCTTTACAGAGTGTCAGTTTATCTGTATGAATTATTACTGTAATAGCACAGTTTTGCACCTCGTGAAGCCCTATAATTTCAACGAAGCCCGATAAAGGTGACGAAATTTTTTTTGACAAGTGGACATTCGAGTTGCACGTGACACGTTCTAATTTATCCCCTGTACGATAAAAAAAAAAAAAAAGTAATTCAAACACAGATTATTATTGCATTATACGGCAACAATCATCAAAAAAATGGATAAGGGAAAACAACAACAATTACAGAGGAAAACTGCAAGAAAAACGAGTGTTAAGGGCCAAAATGGTTTTGTAATTCCATAATAACAAGTAAACATAGGCAATTGGAAATTTGTGGCTTTAATATCTTAATAACCTGTAAATTAAAAAGTTGGCTGAGGAGGGGCAATAAATGCCCGAAACGTGTGTAAATAATATCAACACGTATCAACTAAATAAAATTTCATGATAAAAATTGCCAAGTCCCTGAAAGTAAATGCAATAATAATTTGTGTTTGAATTACTACTAATAACTACTAGCAAAATACCAAAACAAAGTGTGAAAATGCAAAAAATGTGGAAAACCTAAATTAGATATTTAAGTTAGACTAAATATTGAAATGTAGACACTGTGTAATATGTTATACAAGGTGCGTTCCATAAGTAATGCGACCAAATTCATAAAAAATCATTTATTGATCATATTTTTACAATTAGTCAAAAATCTTTGAAATAGCACCCTCCTGCATCGATACACTTGTGAGGGCGGTATTTCCGGGCCTGAAAGGCATTCTGGAAGGCCTTCTCCAGAATGTCCTTTAGAGCTGATGTAACATAAGCCTTGATGTTTTCAATCGTGTTCCAATGTTTTCCTTTCATGCGGGGAAACAAAAAAAAAGTTGGCTGGAGCCAGGTCAGGACTGTAAGGTGGCTGTGGAACCAATGAGGTGTGGGTCCTGGCCAGGAAATCGTTGACAGTGAAGGAGCTGTGGCTTGGCACGTTGTCGTGATGAAGTTTCTGCATGTCCTTGATGTCACTTCGGCAGCATGTGACTAGGATTTCAGTCTTTTGAACACTTCCAAGTAGAAAGCTGCATTTACAGTGGTCCTGACAGGTACAAATTCATGGTGGTTAATGCCTCTGACATCAAAGAAGACAATTCAGGAGGTTGATGGATGTCCACTGCAAAGTTTGTTGGTGACCTCCTCTCGGCCATCCTTGAACGACTTGTGCCATAGAAAGACTTGTGATTTGGAGAAGCAATCACTCCCAAAGGCCTGCTGAATTAATGTAAAAGTTTTGGTGGTGGACTTCCCAAGTTTAACGCAAAATTTGATAGCATAACATTGCTCTACAAAATGATCCATTGCTCCGTGTTACATTAACTTAAAACGGGATTCACAGGAATGAACGTCCTTACATGCTGGCAGCTTGGAGGCAAACGAGAGCAGGTGAGTTTTGAAGCTAACACCTCACACCACCTAGCACAGCAGGTTAGAACTAGCTACAGCATATCGTTGTGTCATGAAAAAAATTAGTCGCATTACTTATGGAACACATCTTGTATTATGGTAGTTATTATTCATAATTCTATGTTATAAAAACTCTCCTCATTACTGTTGTTTTATGGATTGTACATGTTGGTTGTTGCTTGACACTACAGATTGTACAGGTATTTTAGTGTATGTTATAATTTTTCAGTAATATATCAGTTTAGCAACAATGGTGCATGATTATTGGCTTATTGAAAATTTTATAGAATGTGGCAATATCAATATTGATAAGTGAGTTTAACAACATAATTTTTTACTGTTTGTTAATTTATTAGTCAATAAATACATAATCTAATATTTTATTTTTGAATTTTCATTAAACTCAAGCCAAGTATTTTATTAATGATGTAATTAGTAAAAAACTATTAGTAATATCTTGTAATGTTCAAAGCATTTAACCTTTCTTGTTAGATTACTTCAATGCTATGTTACAGTGGTATTTTCACCAATATTTTTTTTGCATGTTTACTACTTAGTTCTGAAATGCTTAAACATAGAAATCTGTGTTTGATAAATTAAATTATCTAAGTTCTTTAACTGCTAGGACAGGTAAAATATCAATAGAGAATTGTTTTGTTTTAACTGTACAAAATTGATGTACTTTATATATTACAAATCAAAAACACAACACCTTAATTTGCTGAGAAAAATTTAATGAAAAGCAAACGTTTTCAGGTAAATCTGTTGGCCATCATCAGGGTAAGATATTCAAATATAAACAAAATAGAACAAAAATTTGAATACAAATAAAATAAAATAATGAATGAAATATATATATAAATGTATAAAGAAAAATAAAGTAAAATTAAAATTATTATTATAAATAACAAAATATGTATATGAAAAAAATAAGCATAGGTTAATTAAATATTAAAATGTTATATAATAATACATTATATGAAATTCAATGAAATGCAAGATATGCAAAAAAATACTAAAATCAAGGCATTAAATTAAGAGCTGTGTAATTGTTTGATTAAGTATTTCCAGGCCGAAGGCAACCCTTCAGAATCTCTAGAATTAATGCATGCATCATGCAATCTGCTCTTATATATTTCAATTTTTTCAGTGCAAATTGCCAATGTTGGTGAATGTACTGGTTTAATAATACTTGCTTTGTCCCATTTGACGATTGAGCCCTCAACTTGCGCCAACTGTGATAGTATTGTGGCATTAGATCCCTTGCTGATATTGTATTTGTGTTCTTTTAATCTGACTCCTAAACTTTTATTAGTGACACCAATATAATTTTTATTAATGTCTAGTTCACAATTTTTATATGGAATCCATATAGGATTCCATATAAGCAGGAGTGCACAAAAGTGCACATATAAGCAGGAATGCACAAAAAGAGCAGGAGTGTATACTCCTGCTCTTTTTTCTTTATCTATGCTATCTTTGTTGTTCCTTAATAATTTGTACAGGCTAGGAGCTCTCTTGAAAATTAACTTGGACTTTTTGCGGGCTGAGATTTCCTTCATGATGGCTTTTCTCTTTCTATCATAAGTGAACTTTGTGATTTTGCTGAAATCGCAGTTTTGAGCTTTAGTTTTGTTTATTTTGTATTTTCTGATCAATGTTGTTATCATATCTTCTCTGTACCCTAGAGATCTGGCAATATGTAATATTCTATTAATTTCTTTTTGCCTATCTAACACACTACTGCAATAGAGAAAGGCCCTTTGGATAAGGGCACGGAAGGCAGACATTTTCTATTGGTAAGGATCATTAGAGTGGGACGGAATGTACAGAGGGCTATGCGTCGGTTTTACGTATACCTTAGTGGCCAAGTGCCCTTCTTTGAACTCAACGTCAATATCCAAAAAATGTATCTGTGAAGCA